TTTCTATTTCTTAAACAGGGAACTTAAACATTAAGTTAAACCTATTCCAAATACATTTTCAAACTGTTCAAATGATGAAAGTTATTGTTGTTTTTTAAACGTTTATTAGCGAGTGGGAAACTCCAACATGGCTGCCATCTATTCAAACAGGGGTAACCGCTGGAATATTCTTGGCTTCAATTTTACTTAAAGAGATGCGCTATCTACTGTGTATATAAGATATCTATGATTTGCAGCAGCCAAAAATGGTGAAATGGTTTGAGACAACAGATATGTCTGCATCATATTATCAACAGATTCAATGTTGCCATTACTTGTAACCAGCACTAATTCTATGAAATTGTCACATTTCTTGTCATTCTGACTTTCTGGCCGGAGCTGGAAGAAAACACCACAACTCCTTCTTCGGCTAACCACAAAACACCAGAACTCCAGCAAAACTCTGGCTTCTGCTGCTCCGGACTTCAGTGCTCCTGTGCACAACACTAGTCCTTAACCCACAGCACTATTAAACCACTCTCCCCTTGATGACTATCTGCTTATGAGTGCCTAGCGTTACCATTAAGTTGTATTGCACTCCAATGTGCCCTACGTACTTTATACTTTACTCTATCAAATGCCAGATTACATTTTACTCGTCAAGGGCTCGACAGTGCTACCACTCAATGAGTTGATATAAACCAATCAAGCCAAAGATACTGTCTGCCTGTCTGGTAGTGTCTGTTTTATGGTTACATCAGAGTGCCAATTTGTAGTGGTACAATCTTACCTTCTTGCAACTTTGTATTATATAGAAACCAACTCAGCATCTGTTTGCTGAAGGCATCATTCCTGCACTGTATTATAACAAAGTACAATTTACTGGTGAAAGTAGAACACCATTGGTTTTAAGTGTAGGTATGTGTAAGAAATCTCTATTTTAACTATGGTTCGTTTGATAGGTTGTAAATTTTTACAATAATAGCTTTTTGCTTGAAAAAGATGCCCAAAATTATGTGCACTATTATCTTGGACTGTCTGTGCTGGTATAGACCCATTGCACTGACGTCACAAATCCTTAGAGTGTCCTCCAGATGCTCCCTAACAATATCTGTTCGGGTACAACAATCATGCACATACAGCCCAAAAATTAACCATTTTAATACAAAATTATTATAAAGTTTTACAAACTTTGCTTTGGTTACAAAAGTTATATTATGCATAGATTGCTAATTTGTCCTTCAGATGCATCGTCACCGGCGCTGTGACGTCATGTGCAAGGGGTCTATAGGTAGTACCAATAATATGAAAATTACTAGCCTGAAAACAGATCTACGTTTTGCCCGCCCTAAAATTCGCGGGTCGACGGAAAGGGCGAAACCCGCGACTTTTAGGGCGGGCAAAACGTAGGTCTGTTTTCAGGCTAGAAAATTGCGGATTGATAGGAATACAACTATCTGAAAAATACAACGTGAGAACTTCAAGGTTTCAAGCAAAAGCCTTTTGTCGGGAAGTTAGTAGAATTTGAACAGCTAAGGCTTTGCTCGAAGGGCAAGGGCCTTCACTCGAAATGTCGAAGTTCTCCTTGTATTTTTCAGGTAGTTGTATCAATCGACAGCTTTCTCATAATTCATCCTGTATATTGTACACATTTTGAAGGATTTCGTAGATGGAAAATTCGAGTGTGAATTTTTTACATTTAGCCCCAACCAGGAGCAGCTGTGAAAAATGATATAGGCCCTTTAAAAAAACTGTAGGTCCTCTTTGTTCCTCATGCCAGAGAGCCTAGCCCACAGCTTCTCCTGGTTTCAGTAGTCTAAATAAATGTATAAAATTTACACTGGAAATGGACCTTTTCCCTTATAACTAAAATTTTGATCTAGACAAAAATTTCATCACAGCTTGAAAGAGCATCACAAAATTAGTAATATTCCGAAGTTTCGTTGCGAAATGTT